TGATTTGGAACCACATTTTTACCAAACGTCAGAAAGCTGCCATAAAGCCTCAGTGCATACAACTGCCAAGGCCAGGCCCTATCTGGCTATACTTACCGAGGAGAAAAATAAGGATAAAGGTAAATTGCTCAAATAAGGGGGAAGAGGCTCATTTCACTCAGTTCAACAGACTTATATTGCAGACTCTTTGACAAGCTCTAGTTGTTTTTTCTACTTCTGAGCAGAGAGTAGAAGAAAAACAAGCAAAATACAGAAATTTGAATCTGAACACAATTTGCAGAATCTGAAGAATTTCCACTAGATGTTGGAAAATGGTTGCAGGAATTTGTTTCATTCAGCCACAAGAGCACTACTAAGGTCAGGCACTGATGTTGGGCAACAAAGCCTGGCTCTCAGTCATCATTCCAATTTGTACCAATGGTATTGGTGGGTTAAGGTCAGGACTCTGTGTAGGCCAGTCTAGTTCTTCCACACCACACTCAGTATGGACTTCAGAATGCTTTTTATGAACCTCACTGTGTGCATGGAAACTTTCCAAAGCTATTACCACAAAGTTGGAAGAAACACAATTTTCTAGAATGTCACTGTAGCAGTACTTTATTTTTCAGTCATTTTATTTTTCTTCAATTTGTTCTTTCTCTCCTTTTTGCTGTTTTTGCTTTTATTATTATTTTTACGGTTTGATTGTAAAGCACTTTGAGCTGCTTTGTGTATGGAACGTGCTCTATAAATAAAATGTGTTACACTATTATTAGGATTTCCCTGCACTGAATCTAAGCAGCCATTTGTCTCTGGAAGGTCTAGAAGTGTAAAAATTTGATGAACTCACTTGTTGGACAGCTGGCATCCTATGAAGGTTATTGAGCTCTTAGGTGTAACCCATTCTATTGCCAGTGTTTGTCTACGGAGACTGCATAGCGGTATGCTTGATTTTACGTAACTGTTAACAGGGAGTGTGGCTGAAACAGCCAAACAAACTAATTAGAAGGGTCCATATATTTCTGGCCATGTAGCATAGCTCATCCTGCATGAAACGTTTTTCTTCAGAAGTTTAAAGTTTCAGAACCAATGCTTTAAACTGGATTTCTCCACTTGCTGCCATAAGCTACGACTGAAATAACTAATACTGACTTGAACCGAATCATGGTTTGTTATTGCTGGTGATAACTGCAACTTCTAAGGGCTAAACATAAATGGACAGTTTGCATCAAAGTCTCCACACCAACAACTGAAAAACTGATCTTCAGACAACCAATGCAGTCCATCTTAAAGGAAAGGTAAAATTTGTATCACTTGTTAAAGGAATTTTGAGTCTGTTTAAAATGTCAAAAGATTAAGAAGCAAAAAGAGCAGAAAGAGAGTGCTGATAAAGTCTTCGTAGGAACCTGCTTCATGAGCACTGTCACCTTTAACCTTCAATCTCAGTACATGTATGCATACCTGATAATAGAAGGTATATAGTGGAGGAAATGAAATGTCCCTTTTCATTCCTTCTATTTCAATGTTGCACCCAAACTCATTTTTACAGCTCAACAGGCACTTGTCCTTACCCTCTTTATTTGTGATCAGAACAACATACCATACAGTGTGTTGTATTCAGCCAATGCAAAGCGTAGTCTTGGAGGAGCTAAAAGCATGAAGTAGTCAAAAATGCTATCAGATGGTTTGCATTTCTTTCTCACACTCGCACTTGACCTCACCCATAAGAGTAACGATATGGACCACGATACACAGTACAGAGATACCGCAACACACATGGCTGAGTGCTATTTCCTACAGCGTAGGGTCTTTCATTGCTCTTCCCTTTATTGCATCTATAGCTTTTCACGTGCCTCATACAGTACACCAGACCCAAAGCTTGGCTAACTGCTTTGAAAAATTGCTCAGCTTTATAAACAAATATTCAATCATAGCCCATGTTGCATGGGATTATTGCCCCAGTCTCGTCAGCATGATTAGTTGCACCACTCATGTGAGTAGAACAGTTCCTGCTGCATATGCATACAATCTGTTCAAAAAAAAAAAAAAGTTTCCTGTCAATTTGCATTCCCATTACTGTAGCACTAAGAGGAACACGTAGCCACCTCAGAGTAATGAGCTGGATAACACCAGCAGCGGGTGTCTGTACTTTTTCCTCTAGTCTTTGATTTACTGTTCCATGCTTCATCAGCTACTGAGTATATATATACAAAGATGTTAATGGAGAAACAAATGGATATTTCAGTTGAGTTTGAAGAAACATTCCACACAAAACCCAAAAATCAATGTGTGTAAAGTTTGGAGAAATTTAGTCAATGTTCCTTGGGTGCTCTGTGGATCAGCTTTCAATAGTGTCTAGCTGTAACGTGAGTTTTGTGAATAGACGAGCGAGGCTAACAAAATACCATAACATCACAGTTACTGCATAAATATTAATTTTAAACACTGAATAATAAGAGTGCAAATCTCTGAGCTCACAAGGGATCAATTTGATTATGTTTCTTTAGGACAAAGTCTAATGTAAAAATGTAAAAAAAAATACCCCCAAGAAATAGTTTTGAAATTATCTTTTCAGATTTTTACATCTGAAAATAGCACAAGAACTTTATTTTGCTGGAAAAATGAGCAAATACTAAACTGAATATTACTACAACTGATTACAATGAAGTATTCCAAAATTTATACATTTTAATCTCCACTTTCAAATTGATTCATCACAATGCATCAATGCATTTTTACACCCTTACCGAAATGGACATAAAGTCCTATGAAAAAAGCAAGGCAAGGCAAGTTTATTTATATAGCACCTTCCACACTCTGCTGTCATTCAAAGTGCTCTACAAATAATAAAATACAGTAATTTAAAAAGTGGGTAAAGGAGAATTGAAATTAAAAACCTGATTAAAACATGATTAAAACAATAGATTTTAAAAGAGAAGAATCATGAAATTAAAAATCAAATTAAAAATAAAAAAACTAACAGTGTTTTAAACTGACCTGAACGTCTGCTTAAATAAGAACATCTTCAGGCCAGATTTAAAAGGGTCCAGTGTCTGGGCTCTTCTAACACTCTGTCAACTGGTTCCATTTAAGAGCAGCATAGTAGCTAAATGCTGCTTCTCCATGTTTTATCTTCGGGAAGACTAACTGACTAGTTTCTAATGATCTGAGAGTTCTGCCTGGCTCATATTGCTGCAGCAGATCAGATGAATATGCTGGTCCTGCACCATTAAGCCATTTATAGACCAGTAATAGTACCTTTAACTCTATTCTGTTACAGCTGGTAGCCAGTGTAAGGACTTAGGAATGGGGGTGATGTTCCCTTCTTTTACTCCTAGTGAGAACTCCGGCGACTGTATTTTCAATCAGCTGAAACTGTTTGATTGTCATTTTTGGGAGTCCAGTTAGGAGACCATTACAGTGATCAATTCTGCTAGAAATAATGGAATGGATCAGTTTCTCTAGGTCTGCTTTGGGTCAGAACATCTCTGATCTTGTTGATGTTCTTAAGGTGATAAAATGCCGATTTCATAACTGCATTGACGTGACTGCTAAAACTAAGATCAGAGTCCATTAGTACACCAAGGTTGCATATTAGTTCTTTAGATTTTAGGGCTCTTGAATCCTGATAGGCAGCTAGTCTTTGCCTCTCGTTGCTGTTCCCAAATAAAATAATCTCTGTTTTGTCTTTATTCAACTGTAGACAGTTTTGTCCCATCCAGTTAGCGAAGTGCTCAAGGTACTTAGAAAGTAAGTCAAGGGGACCATGGTTGGGAGAGGGCCAAGTGAATCTGAGTATCATCTGCATAGCTTTGGTAAGATATCTGATAATCTTGTATTATATGGCCAAGAGGAAGCATGTATAAATAAGATAAATAAGAGGGTCCCAAGAATTGAACCCTGGGGGGTGCCACACTTGAACACAGTTGGTCAAAGTACATGTTTTGTTGTTAACACATCCTTTACAGGAAACAAACTTAAAAAGGCATTGTTCTGCAAATGTTAGTGCACAATTTCTATTTATTTGCAGAGTTTAACATTTTGGAAAAAAATAAAACTATACAAATATAAGATGTGCCATAATGTTTGCTCAATGTTTTTTTTAGTATGTTAAATGCAGCAGATCAACAGCATTTTTTATTTGAAATGTGCAGAAATGTGTTCTCTGTAGAGGGTGTGTAAACTTTTACATTTTTACTTAGAAAATCAACAAAATGTAATTTGACCAGGGCGCAAAAATGTTTGCACACAACCGTATGTGCTACACTACCTTATTTGTTCAACAGGATACATGTACCAAATATTGCATTGTGATGCTATGACTCTTTAACGTCATAGGTTTCAACTAATTTGCAGGAAGAAATGTTGGATGTGTTCATAATGATGAACAGAGCAGTAGATGATTCCATTCCAATGACTGAAAAATGAGATTTAACCTCAGTTAGTGTGTGAAAAGTTAGTGGATAGGACCTTGTTTATTAATACTTCAATTTATAAAAGTCTCAATTTGGAAAGCTATGTTAAATTCATAAGCTATTAGGAGTGGTATATTTCACAAAAACGAATGGTGTTATTTTTCTCCGTCAAAGCCCCTGCTTTCAAAAGTTCTGTCATTCTCTTCTTTCGAAAAGAAGCTAACTGGCACATAGCCCCTTGCCAATTACTGTGATGCAACCCAATAATGTTGAGGTCAGAAAAGGCGAGTGGAGCCCCGCAGTCTGCTGTGTCTGGAGAATGTTACAGTCTAAAACATAGCTGTCATTCTGAAGTTCACCACCCCTCTACCAGTTGCTAGGCTTTCCCTCAGCTCATAATGCAGCACAGATTTCTACATCAGAATCTCTGCTTTATATACACACATTCTCAACAACATACACATACACACACATACACACACACACACACACACACACACACACACACACACTAAAATTTGCACAAATGCTACACAGTGGTTCTTACTGAAAAAGTACTCCAAATTCTGGCAGTGTAACAAGCTAAAGTAAGAGCCAGGCACTTACTCTCATGGCTGTAGCTCAGGCTGGTGCTGTTGCTGTCTATGGAGAGGCTTCCCGGCTGATTGGCATCGACCCCAAGCCCACCCAGAGTGCTGGGCACAGGGGAGCTGCCTGGCCGAGAGCTGTGGACAGAGCTGGACGGTCTGGAGCTACCACAGTTCTGCAGGAAATAGCAGAGGGACACGGTGTCAGAACTGTATCAAACAAAGCCCTTCTGCTTCAACTGGAAATGGATCCTGCACTGAGTGGATTTAGCATGTATATGAACATACAACTGAAAAAGCACACATGACACTCTCTTTCAGCAGCTTTCTCCAACTGTTGAAAGTGTTTCAACTAGGGATATAAATCTCTGGCCTTGTTTGATTCATTTATGGTTCCTTACAAAATGATTTGAAGCATCATGAAGTCTCAAATTTCAACACATCTTTGCTTGTTTTGGTAGAACTCAGAATTGTTTTTAAAAAAGTCACTGAACACACGTGACTGGAGAAACTACTGACACAGTAGATCTTGTTCATGTATAGATGTTTCTGTTCATCTTTCCACTGTGTGAAGACCACTCAATACTATGGGTCTGAAAGGACACACAGTGCCCTCACTGAGAAAAGGAAAAGTTGCAAATCAAACAAAGAAGCTGCCGGTGTTCTCTGCTGGTGAACAACAGACTGGCCACCCAAAAGCCCAGACCTCAACATCTCCGAATGTGTTTTTTGGAAATTACTTGGATAATGAGAAGCAGCAAATGCAACCAGCTTCTAAGACTGAACTTTGGAGATGTGAAAAAATATCCCTGCAGATTGCTTAAAAAACTGAAAGTGAGTCCCCCAAGAATAATGAAAGCTGTAATAAAGACAAATATCGCTGTTGTCGGAAGAAAATGGACTCTTTTGTCAAGTCATTTTGGGCCATTTCTTTTGGTCCATTGTTCGTGAAATTTACACATAATGTCAAGAGCAACAGGCATTCTCAAATAATGTCAAAAACTGAATATATATATATATATATATATACACACACACAAACACACAATCACCAAATTATACTATGACCAGAAAATGAGCACATACTTGAATATTCGGATCAATGTACCAATGCATTTTACATCTCTTCTGTTAACCATTACCTTATCTCACATAACATTATTAAAAAAAAAAACTAACCCTAACACATTGAACATACAAACAAGAAAAACACTATTAGAAGTAGTCTACAAACAGTCTATCACTTTGTGTTTGAGCATTACTTACACATGACACAGTACTGAAAAGTAAGTCCATGTCTAGCTACAAATCCAGACTGGACATGATGCCTAGGGATGGCGAAATGAGTTGTGGAAGATAAAATAGCCAGCATAAACAACCCGCTAACATGCAGTCTTGTTTGACTGGTTAGCAACTTGATACAATAAACAACTGAAAATATGAAGCCACCAATTAGGATGATGCATGTCTACCAGCTGCCATTTATTATTAGCATTAGTTAGGAAGTTTAGTCAAACTACTCCTTTAAGTATGGGCACATTAATAATAAATATCAAATATGCATCAAATCTGAGACATCACTCAACTACATTTTACCACAAAACATCATACACGCTTTGGCCTAAGTGGTCTTGGTCATATGTAATTTATTATCTCTTTAATCATCTCTCACCAAGAAACATCATCAATGTTCAGCCAAGATTTCAGAAATCATGGATGTTTACTCTTTTCACACTGTTCGAAATGCACACATATGCAGCATACAGTCCACCTCTTTTCCATCTTATATCTTGTCAAAACTTGAATTAGGATCAAAAAACTAATCTGCTTCCAATTTATATCTATATTTCAGGGCTGTCATGGACCCAGACCCAGCAAGTATTGAAGGGGGGTCGTTTTTTATTTGGCCAGTACAACTGACAGCTTTATTCCTCCAAGCAATCTGCCACAGTGTGTACAAGTGTGAGGTCATTCAGGTCAGCAGACAGTTGGCATCAAACATTCTAGTAACACCAGCTCGGGCCTACATAAAATTGATATTAGGCATGAAAAAAATTTATAATACAAGAGGTCAATAGGTCAGTAGCCTTTAAACTAAAACAGTATTACTTGGCACAGACATTTAACTTATTGTTATCTGATAATATTAGTACATAATCTTTGAAAATTGTTCTCATGGAGAAAGCAAGCAGTAGCATCTGATTGCAACTTAACATGAGTTGTCTTGTCCACTTTAAAGCCATAAAATCTGAGCAGAATAATGACTTCTACTAGATGGTTGGATTTTTTTCATCAAAATTCTGACCATAGCCATACTTATTTTTAATTAATGAAGTACAACAGTCATCGGTCTCTTCAGAGACTCCCCAAAAATGGTACGCTGGAGAGAACTGATGGGACTTTTAATTTATTAAGCAGTGTTGGAACATTCTGTGCACACTGCTCTAGTCCAATAAAGAGCAGTACATGTTTTCATCCTGCTCTACAGCATGTCCAGCGCCAAACCACTCAGGTAGATACAGTATATCTCCCCCAGATTTATGAAGCAAAACAGCATTAGCTAAAAAGCCATCCACTGCGTACAGCTGTCGGCTCCCATCGTGTGGACTTAGAAAATTGGAAAATTGCCCTGAGAGTGCGAAAGGGTCCCACCGCTAATACGGTCCGTGACGATATATATCAGCCACTACCTGCCGCTTGCGTTTGGGGCTGCGGTCGTTTTTTACTAGTCTCAGACTTAACGGTGTCGGGCCTGTCAGGGGGGTCAAAGGGAAGAGGGAGGGGGGCCATAGTCTAAAATCAATCTACCTTTAGAAATTGTCTCATTCGGCTCTCAATGACCAAGTGGCACGGCAGGGCTGAGAGGGACATACTACATACTGCCGTAGGCTATAAACCATGACAAGCCTGGAGGAGAGTTAATATGATCATTCATAAGGGGACAAGTTGCAGTGGCGGAGTGGAGCTCAAGGGGAGCGCACTGAGGGCGTGTGTTTGTGTGTATGTGTGAGAACGAGAGGCATAGAGGGGAGGAAGGGTGAGGGGGGCAGGGGCTATTAACTACTTTTAAACCGCTTTGCAGAAGCTAAGTGATCTCCACGAGGAGCGGCCCTACGTATAAATACTGGGCTGACAGTTTAATGTCAAGGGACAAGCTTGTGCAGGATTAGAAACTTGTAACCCTGGGCTGCTGGGTGACATTCTTGGGATTGAGGTGGCCAGAGTGGAAAGGTGTACTTATAATAAATAAATAAAATAAAAAATAAATAAATAAAAAATAAATAAATAAATTCCTGAGCCCAGTCAAAAAATTTAATACACATAAACCAACAAAGCAATAATCAGAGTTCAATAAAACACTTACTCTAAAGACCTTGTCTAACAAGTCAATAAGTACACGAATATAGAGTCAACAGCAAAAAAGTAGGATCCAACCAATATACAGGTTGGCTGACATTATTGGCCAGTACTGCAGACTCAAAAATGCATTGGTATACCTGCGATAAAGCACAGGTATTTACTGGTTTCTTCTATATTATATCTAACAGATACTGCTAACGTGAGCAAAACTATTCCCTTTGTAAATGTTGTTAAGCTGACTGTCAGCCCCTACTTGCCTGTATTATAGGGACACAAGCTTGACTGGTAAATTTCAACACAAAACACCATTTTTACACAGCAAAAAACTTTTCAAATGCATCTAAACTTAACCTTTAACATGACAAACACTAGAAATATTCTATGAAGAGAACTGATGACAAATAAAAAAATAAGAGCTAATTAACGGAAACCAATAAAAAAGTAGTATTTATTTAAAGTAGTATTTATATCATTTAAGATTCTGTGAGTTTCTACCGTTCATTGAGAAACATGACATTTAAGAACTAACAATCATACTTAACAATTTATATTTAATGCCTGACAACCATAACAGTCACTAAAGCACTGGTTAACTAAAATTGTAAATTTTTAATCAAACTGAATTATATCAGCTGACACTAGTAGTTTTTTAGTCTGTGAAAATTAGTATTAGTGTGGCTCACAAAATTTGCCATACTGGTCAAACCCTGAAAAGAACTGTATACAGAATAACTTACAGAAAAATTCTGAGCTTTCCGCCTCTCTTTGATCCTGTTGACTGTATTGCGTATCTGTAAGAGAAAAACACAGCTGTAATCTCAAAACTCAACTAACTCAAAAGACATCACTGTATCTGCACAGCACAAAATTCAGTCCAAAGAAGAAATACAGACACCAAGCAGCAGGCACTGTATACTAGTCATTTAGGAGTAGAGAATGAGAGTGGACTGAAACATTCCAGTTTGTCACAGGTAATGGGTCCTGAAAGTGACATGCAGAGCTGCTAAAGTAAGGAGAGCACTTTAACCCATCATCTGTCACATGACACCATGGCCCACAGAAATAAAGCACTGGAGGAAAGGACCATTCTTGCAGAACAGATTGCATTTGTACAGTGTGAGAAAGCGAGAGGATGTATGGAAGTGCACACGTAATGACACTGCGCCTGGGGATGCCTGACTATAACGATACTACATCAGAATTGCCAGATAACTGCTCTGAATCTCTATATATCGGTTCAACATTTCGATTAAATGCCTGCTGCAGGAGACAGCACCGGAATTCATGCCTGTGAATGTAACATCTTTGTTTTTTACATTCAAAGTATTAATTTGAGTTGAATAAAACCAGTTAAACTGCTTATCACTTGTAACCTAACTTCTTTAGGTTACAATGTCAAACAATTTTTCCATTGTAGCCAAGGAAATATTAATTAGCATTCCAGAAAACCCATATTTCATATTCTTAAGAGCAACATAGACAGGACTGCATAATGGAACCAAAAGGAAGATTATACACATTTGCATAGTCACATAAATAAAAATAAATGCTTTAACTATAAATGTTGTTGAAATAAAAGTAATCTAAATATGTTGTGCTGTCATAGCAAAATCTCATATGTCTAAAATTATAACCTTATAGAAAAGGAAAAATTTTAACTAAAATAATGGCAGTCTATTCCTAGTAATTGTGAACCATTTCTATTGGTTCATTCACTATGAAATGTTCCCACAATGTAAAAACAAAGCATAAATAAATAAATAAATAAATAAATACATAAATAAACAAATAAGCAAATAAATAAGTAAATAAATAAATAAATACCCCAAATAAAGATTTTAATATCATGCAGATTATATAAATTCTAGACTTATAACTACATACATTTGCAACCATGAAAGTCATTGCCTGCTATCTAAAGCCACAATGATTTTTCCTGCTACAAGATTTTATCACAATGAGGCTGTCACCACCCACAACAAATACACAGCATTTTCCCCGAGTCAGCCCACTGCCTGCTACAATCCAAGGCTCAGCCCCTCACGCTGGTGAATATGCATTATGTCTTATGACTTCATTAGACCCTGGCATCGTCATAAATTATGCCGCTGCACAGATATACACACAGGGGCATGTTTTGCATAGACACCATTGCCTGTGTCGACAGGGCTAATGAAGAGAACAAAGCATCTTTGACAACCCCCAGTCAACGGTAATATGTCAGATTTGGATTCTCTCTCTCTCTTTTTCTCTCTCTCTCTCTCTCTCTCTCTCTCTCTCTCTCTCTCTCTCTCTCTCTCTCTGTCTTTCTCCAGTGAGTCATGATTTGAAATGCCCAAAGTGCACTGTAGCCTTAATGAATGGAACTGGGAAATCAAATCAATTTATTTCAGGAGAAAATCACGGAAAGCAATGTAGAAAAAGCATATTTCTAGCAATCGGGCCGTCGAGGACACAGCTTCAACCTACTATACTTAGGAGCTGTTTGCTTGCCTTTCTCTCAAGGTTTTACAGTGATGCAATTGAAGCTTTCTATGTAAAAATATATTAGATGCGATTTCCATATGAAAGTGATGCAAATGGTAACACCTGCTTACATCCTTGGAATAAGGACGAAAGAAAGCAAGGTCATCAAAGAGGGAAATAATAAGGTGACCAACAGGGGAAATCTCACTTAGATCAATAATGAGCCCTTTTGTCTTACGATTAGAGTAAATGCTTCATCCGGGTTTAATATGCATAGTTGAATTGCACAAGGAAATTCTAATCATTTAAAAGGAATGGAAATTACATTGCTTTTGATGAATAAGTAAACTTCACAACCTACATTTTTAAAATAAAAATCAACTCACCAAACATCTACTTGTAAGCAAGTGAAACAAAGTTCAGTCCACAGGTAATTCTATCATATTCTGTTATGTCTAAATGTAGTGTCATGTGTGGGATAATAAAGAATGAACAGCACATACGCATTAAGGGAATACATGCTGGTCATACTAAACTGATTTAAGTGCAATAGTACCACAAATGCTGCTCACTGGACATTTAAGTCACATGTAACATTTAAATCCAAATAAACCACCTCTTAAGGAAGCCAGCACATGCTGTAATCAGTCAACTTGAACTTGATCTTGGTCAATTATAAACATGATGAGCTCACTTGCTCACTTCTATTGAGCAAGAATCTTCCAACGGAGCATCTTCAGCCAGTTTTTTTTTTCGTTTGGTGGAAAATCAAGTGTACATATGACTGAAACAGATTTTATGGTTCTTGAAGATGTGGAGAGGTTTTCTTGAATGAAAGCAGACCGAACAGAACTTTTCCCTTTGGCCTCTTTCTTCCGCTCTCTAATTACTTGATTTTTTCATAGACTAAAACTTTGACCGTTCTCCTCAGATTTGTGTAATTTTTCTATTAAAGGAGAATTTCCTTTGCTGTGTCAGGGAGGAGAAACTTAATCTGCCAGTGTTTCATGTCACACCTTCACAACTGCACAAAGGGGAAATAAGGGAGAGTGAAAAAATAAGTCAAGAGCAGGCAGGAGAAAAGAAAAAAGGAAAGATTATTACATTTTATATTTACAAAACCCCCTTTGAAAAACGCATAAAGCAAACATGGGTTGCTCACAAATTGTGAAGACCCCAGGGTCAAGGAGAGCTGGGAGTTGGAAAATAGATTCCGAAGCACTAAAAAAGCCACTTAAGCAAGAATGCAGCGATGATTTATTTTACAATGCGGAGAGGGTCAGCGGCGAGACTGTGCGATGTCAATGCGGGGCTCTGACTCAGGGCCACCTCCTCACACCTCTTTTATGGAGGGTGAAAAGGTACGAGTGAAGGAAGACAAAAGGCTGTGGCACTCAGACTGTGCCAGGCTGGAGGTGCTGAAGGGTGGAGGTGTGTACCCAGGTGGTGCTGACCTTGCCCACACACTCCAAGCTATATAAACACTTTTTGCATGAGAGCCCATCTAAATAAGAATTTTTTTCAATAACTCAGACTGCGCTACTAATATTCAGCAAGGAAATTAATGTTTTATGTATTTGTAGTCGAGAGGCAACAATATAAACCACAGGAGCGAGCTTGAGCACAAAATTTACAAAAGAGACCTGTTTCTTTCACTTAAATGGAATGTAAATTGTGAAAATGTTCTCGAAGTTCATTGCTAGCGCATACGTACATACACATAAATGTATCAAAAATGATCTATAACAGTTCTGTGTGTGTGCTATGCTTATCCATATTTACTTTATTCATGTTTTCATTAGAATTTAGAGAGGACAATTTACCAAGAAGTGTTTATTCAAAATAGGCCTCATCCATTAAACCTATATTTTACCATTTACCATTATTTTTCCCGGCTGAAAGAGCATCTAAATGTTAATAACCGTTTTCTGTGACATGCCCCAAACTATCTGCCCGCTGTCCTGCATATATTCTATTTTCACCCTGGACTTCCAGCAAAGACGCCCTAGGCCAGCAGGGCCCTAATGTCAGAATGTTAAATGGAGGACCATGAGTTTAAAAACTTAAAGAGGCAGTGAAATATTAGCCAATGTGGGTGAGGAATGACTAGCTCTTTACTCTGCGTGTCAGTGGTTAATGGCGGGCCTGGATGCATATAAGTTAGCCCAAGCATGAAGGGCAGTGGGACGCTCGTGTGAAAAAAAAAAAGGGGGGGGAGACAACGTTGACTTCGATCCCCCCCACCACCACTCATCTGACATCCCATTGGTGGTGAGCCATCAGAAACTTGTCATTTCTCTCACTCACTCAGTCAGCCTTGAGACACACTGCAGACTTACCTCCGTGTTGTACACGCCATATATCAGGAAGATGAAGAGACCCTGCAAAAGGAGAAAACAGAAAAGAAAAAAAAGAAAGAAGTTGTTAGGGCTATTTTCTTTTTCCCCATTTTCATTTTACTGAGGGAGAAACAGGATAGAGACAACAAAAAATGTTCATATGTAGCACATGTACTAACAGTCAGCAATCCACTATAAGTACAGCTAAGTAAAATGAAACGCATGTTCTTCCTCTCTTCTTTCGGAGAGATGCAAGCTCTGGACAAGCACAGCAAGAGGCACCCAAGAGCCACTGCTGCTGCTCATGCTACCCAATTGAGAAGCTCAATCCAAGGTTTTCTAGCTTTGTGGAGCTCACATATTTCTGCTTTAAGTGCCCATGTTCAATACCCACTCATCCAGAGCCATGCAGGAAGCACAAACATGGGAGAAGACAAAGTGCTAGCTAGGGAGCAGCTAATCAAGAACAATCAGCAGAAGAGGTAGAGACAGAATAATAAACGTAAGAAAAGGAAAACTATTTCAATTCCACAAAAAAGTGACCAGTGCTGAAGAGGAGCAGGAAGAAGATGCCCTTGGGCACATATGGTGGCAAAAAAGTGGCAGTTTTTCATTATTTCCCAGTGTTGTGCTTATTGTATGTTCAAGAAAGGCTTTCATCTTCCTGCTCAATACAAACCAGAGCTACAGAGAGTCAGAGAAAAAAAAAACATAACTGACAAAGAATACTTTGGGGCATGGAGGAGGGGGTACCAAGAGGGAGACATTTTCTGCCACACCGCAAACTTCTAATACAAAACTCATTAGAAACTGTGCCAAAAAAAAAAGGTAAGTTCATTTGTCCAAATCTAAATCTAAATATGTCTACAGAATCCAAAGAATAAGGTGCAATGCTTTTGTTAATATCTAGGGTGCTTGAAGACACTGGAGTCACATCAGCATGGACAGACATTTGCTTAAGAATAAAACATTGGCATTAGACAGATGTTTAGATTTGACTGATATGTGATGACGTACTGCGCTCCGGAAGAGCATATAGTTTAGGTGATACTGGGTTCTTATGCTAAAATGTTTCTACATTTTATGTCTTTTTCTACACTTTATAAATGTTTATATATTGGCCATCAGCATTGTGCACATAAAAAAATTGGATATTGGCATCAGCCCACAATTCCCATATTGGTGCATCCCTGCTAATATCACACACTTATGACACCGCTCCACACTTGTGACACCTTTGATGGAAGGGCAGCACCCAACCATCAATCAACCAAGAGTTTGGAGCATCCAATTTGCCACAGCTAGATCTCAATGTATCACCATTGACAATTTGATGGTAGTCTGTTCCAAATGTTGGCGCCACCACATACACAAGGGGCCCATAATATACTTTTGAAACATATCAAGATAAAAATGTAGTAAAAAGCCAAAATAAAACAGTGAAAAAAATTCATTGGCCGCTGATTTATGCTGAAACATCCAGATTGTGCTCACAATGTGATAACATGAGCCCCATTCTTCATCCTACTGAAAGTTGAATTGTTAAGTGTAACCCAATATCAACATGAATAACTGAGACAAAATTGTCTTTTATATATAATGAAATCATTAGCTACATAGCACAGTTGAGTGTTAAACACATTTAAAGCCTGGAACTAACCACTTGACACTATTACATGTAGACACTCGATTGAACAATCTAACCCAGTCTAACTCACTCTATGCCCTGAGTGTGTATAGACTACATCCAGTCACGCACAAAATGATGAACTTATTTAACAATTTTTTTTATTTTATTCATTTATTTAACAAACTTTTCTATTTCTCCAATGAGACAATATTACTGATAGGTCCAGAAACTTCAACTTTCTGTCATGTCTGGCATACCATGCCTGCTGCTTTGTTACTTGTACTTAAAACTGTGAACTGACGGAATACCCAGAGACAGTGGGTGGTAATTTACAATGCATAGCCCATTGTTTTGTATTAGGATTAAAATTTCCTACTTAGTGCTGCAAATTAATTACCATGTTTTTGATCATGACTCTTATTTATGATTAATCTTTTGTTGTGTACCGAACAAAGTGGGGAAAACATTCCTTACATATTACAAAAAATGAGCAATTAGAATATAATTGAGTTAAAAATAAGTGGCATCAAAACAATGATGATGGATTGTTTAAAAATGTTAATTCATTAATGTTCAGTTAAAAACAAACACATAAAAATGGAGCACATTTAAATGCATTGTGTTTTTTTTGTCTAAACACATTGTTTCTTTTGAACTCTGTAGTGAAATGGTAGAAAAGTATGCAATGGACTGGCAGAACTGCTTTCAAAGTACTGCTATACATCAAACAAAACGCATAAATTAATTACAGGCAAAATTAATTAGGAAACAATTGTATGGTTAAAAAGTTGATTTAGTAAACATTGTGCTCTGGAAATAAGCACCCTTGAGACCACAATGTAGTGCAATGAAGGCAAGAACTTCATTTCATTTTAATAATCAGGGGCTCACGTCTGACCAAAAGGAAAGGAAAACCTAATGAAAATGTTCCTAAACATTAAAAGAAATATGCTTTCTCACAGTCTCTGACAGGAAACATATTAGAGTTCAAAATCCTTTTATTAAATATTTATATCCATTGCATTTATTATATGCATGTGTTTTGGGGAGAAAACAATAGTAAAATTGTTATCTTTGTCCATATCTTTGCTTTGAAAAGCCCAATAAATAAAATAAAAATAAATAAACAAACAAAACCTACATCACAAGCCATTCAATCATCCACCCTAAAATCTAAAATACAGTCTATATACTGTGTGGAGCCCAGACAAATTCTTCTTAAATTTTGCCCATACATCAGTGGTGAGCGCGCGCTGGTCGACTGAATAGAGAGCGAACGGACCATACACTAGAATGAATAAAGGCTCTTGCTCCTCATTACGGTACGACAAGATACAGAAATTCACTTTGCTTTTCATTTAGGGGTCTCTCGTCCCTCTTTATGGATGTGTGCCTTCAAGCTTTTACTTACTTCTCCTCTCCTGCCCCATGTAATAAATGATAATAAATTTTCACAGATGACCACCTCATCTTTTTTTTCTTTCATACTCTCCTCTAATGCACAAAAAGTTAGAGAGCAAGCAGGTAAAAATCCCCACAAATCCCTTTTTATTTATGACGTTGTCCTTGGTAACAGAAATTTCAATGTACTGAAATGAAAACTATGATTAAAGAGACACAGTGTCTAGCTAGGGGGGGTGAGGTGGTGGAAAGAGTGGGGCAGCTTTCTATCTCTTGAGTGGATATGATGCCTTGTGACATCACTTCAGGAGCAAATGGAGCTGACCGGATGGAGGGATGGAGAGAGCTTTCAGCAGGCACAGGAGAAAGAAGAAAGCTATAATATGTTTTCTTGTTAAAAACCAAACAGTAGTGCTGCATAGCATTGGCTCTTTGCTACTTTGCATGGGCCTGAATGAGCAGTTTGATTTCGATAACGTGTAACAAAAGAAGACAGTATCTGCTGTATGCTGAAGAATAATTTGCTTATTAAGAACACCTTCATAAAATGTGGACCATTCGATCTGGGGCACTCTTGTTTTTTTAGGTTTGGAACCAATTTCTCAATTTTGCAAATAGCACCCTGAGCTTTGATGATGACACAAGGAGTATCAGGTGTGTGTGTGTGGTTTGCTAGTGATTTCACTCAGGAGTTGAAGGCTAGGCAGGGGTTACACCCAGGGCAACTTTAAACATGGGACTGCAAATAACTCTCTGACTCTCAGTCATGGTAACAGCTGGGTGCAAAGTGCTGTAAGAATTTGCGCGCATGTGTGTGTGTGTGTGTGTGTTGTCGTACATTTTCAGGAAAAAAAAAATCCTGGAAAACCAGAGAAAAACAAAAAAGTTGTTTTTTCTGTCCTGTGTTGTGTGACTGCTACTGGCTGCTAAATTTCCTTTGGGATCAATAAAGTATCTATCTATCTATCTATCTATCTTATATATAAAATATAATCTAAAAACAACTAAGTGGGCTTAGTTGTAAAGCCTTCTAAAACAAATGATGAGAACAGTCAATTTCCCTCTATATAAATTTAAAACAGTTACTTTTTTGGAAGTTTATATGCATAGATACATCGGAAAGACACTACAGATGTCATGTATATAAATTATTATCTGATATTGTGTTCAAAAATACATTTGCCACATCTGAAACTCTTTTTTCACAAATCACATTTATGTTTTTTATGTATTTAGACTGAAAAGCGACATGGAACTGTATTGAATTAACTGTGTTTGCACCAATTTAGCAGCCTCTTTATCGACTGTTACAAGCAGCCCCTCAGTCTGTTACAAATAATCCTGCCTAAGGGGTTCATTGTAACATCAACAAATTGTTCATTAATGGTAGGTGTTAGAAAGTTTTTGCTTTCATTTGCAGAAGGGATATGTAGGTTGCTTGTATAAAAACGATTAATCTTTGTCAAAAATGACAAAAATTAAAATTATCCAACAAAAACCAAAATGTGCTAGGTTTGCCCCGTTTTCTAAATCTAAGACCCAGAAGCTATCCAAAGGCTGACTTTAGCCAAATATGACTTCTTGGTATTGAACAGACAAATAATTACATACAGTAAATAAATAAAATGCTAATGGCATAGCTAATTTAGTACCCTCATTGTTGCCGGAAAAAATCCTGAAATTTATTTCCAAGGTCGACAAACATGCATGGCTAATGTGCTGCTTCTACAAACATACAGGGACCACTGCGCCACTAATGGAATATCAGATGTTTTGGGTATTAATTCTTATTTTATTCTTTGTGAGATTATGAGAGCAAAACATGGAGACTTGTCTCTTTCTATAAAACTGAGACTTGATACATCAATCACTACAAGGTCAAGAGAGTTGGGAGTTTTCCATCTGTGAGCAAGAGATCCTCATACATGTGGCTGTAATTACAGTAATAAGAGACATAAAGGTTCCAAAAAGCACTAGAAGAAAAAAGGACAGAAAAGAATTCACACTTTTT